ATGTGATATGAAAGATTTAAGGGGTATAAATATAAAAAGTATAGTTTACATGTTAGATATATGAATACAAAATAATTAAGAAATGCTCCTTTTCAAAAATTTTGAGTTTACTTTAAGTACTTTTAGGGTAAAAAAACACATGCTTTATCTAATGAATTTTTCATAATGTATCACCTATGACCAAACGCAACCATCATTCACAATTACCTATAGAACCATTCACATTTAACATATAGAAAATAGATAAACCCTGAAGAAATACTCCATGGGTCCATTACTCTAAACCATTATCATAATATATAAAACTATTTATAGTAAAAGCTCTTTCAAAAAAAAGAAAAAAAAGCTAACTTATCGCGATTCATGATGATCCATCTCCTCTAATTCCCTAGCATTCAAGCAACCTAAATCTGGACAAACTCTGGCCTCCCTATTTCTTCACAAGCGCATCAAAAACGCGACTGTGCAAATCCAGTATCATCTCCGTCCGCTTCAGCTCCATTTCTAACCTGATCTTCTCCGTCTTCCTGGCCATATCCATCTTCATCCGCTCCATCCTCATGAACCCATCCCCGATCGTCCTCAGCGCCGAAGCCATATCCACCACTGCGTCTCGCTCCTTCTCCTTCCCCTCCATCTTCTTCTTCTCCAACCTCCGCCTCATCTCCTCCATAGAAAGCTTCGCCGCCCTCCCGCCGCCCGAACGAGGGTTCACGATCTTGGACCGGAGAGCCTTGGGGATCGCGAATCGGAGCTCCTCGCCGCTATTGGCCATTTGGCGGTGGTGGCTTCGGGTGTTCCTGGCGTCTCCGGGGTCGGAATCGGAAGGAGAAGGGTTTTCGAGGGATTTCATAAGAGAGAAAAAGGGCCAGGAGGAGGAGGGGCGGAGTGAGAGCGATCGGTGCCGCTCGGATCGGAATCGCTTGCGGAGTTTCTCTATCTTGTGTCGGCACTGGACGGAGGTCTTGGGGGTGGCGGTGGGGACGTGGGAGCAGCGGCGGGTTACAACGGCGGCGACCTCTTCCCAGTCTGCGGCGCGGAGATTGCCGAAGCGAAGGGAGTGCCATTTCTCGCGATAGGATTCGATGAGGGCGAAGGTTTCGTCGTCTGACCAGCAAGGGGGAGGGAGGCCGCGGCGGGAGGGGAGCGGCGCCGGCGAGGCTTCGCAGGAAGGGACGGCGGAGGGGGGAGTGGAGAGGGAGGCCATGATGAGGAGGAGGAGGAGGAGAGGAAGGAAGGAAGGATTGGGGATGAAGGTGGTGGCCGCGGTGGCGAAAGGGGGTTATTTGTAGAGAGGAAGGATTGGGGATGAGGGTGGTGGCCGCGGTGGCGAAAGGGGGTTATTTGTCGGGTTAAAAAGGGTTAAAACGAGGGGTTGGATCCGGTGACCGCCAGACCGAGGGTAGGTTGCGGTGTCCCTCGCGCTTGCGGTGCGGAGAGCGCCGTAACGGGATCGTGGGAGGCCCATCCCGTCCGCAAGACTGCTTCTTCTTTGGCTTTCTTAGCAATAGAAGGGCTCTTGATCCCTACGTTTTTTTTTTTTTTTTTTACGACAAAATTTGGGTTTTTGAAAATTCTTGAGCTCATGAAAAATAAATAAGATGTTTAAATAACGATAGGGGACGTTTGGTAATGCGTATTAATTGTATTTATCATGAGATTTATTGAAGATTTATGAATTTTTCATATTTCAGGTCCTCAATTTTGTATTTAGTTCAACTAAAACTCGGATATTACAAAATTCAATAGGAGGGTGCTTACACTATATCGTGCTTGTCTAAGATTTACATTCATATATTTACTTATCTAACACCTATACTTTATTTTTTTACATATATACCATTTTCTTATGTACGAAAATGCCTAATTCACTTTTTTTAAGTTCAAAAAGTGATATTTTGATGTGATATGAAAGATATGGGTGGTACAAATGTAAAAAATAAAGTTTAGGAATTAAATATGTAAATCGATAGGAATTGGGAGCAATGTATGTAAATGCCCTTAAATAATAAATTAATTGTTATATATTATCAATTTATTTTTCAAAAACTTTTCATCTATATGAAGTTAATTCTTATTTTACCTCCAACTTTACTTATGCAAAATCCATTTTACTAATACTTAACCTAATAATATGATTTGTTTTATATTTTATTTACTTTTTTGTCTTATTAAATTTAATATTTACTTTTTTACTGAATATTTTTGTTTATATCAGTTTGATTTAATCTTTGAACTTCTCTTAGACAAAAATTAGGTCTGCAAAGAAAATCATCTTACATACTTTCCATTTTGTTCTTCTTTCAAAGCCATCTCTGCAGTCCATCAGCCACTTCCCTATTTGAATTTAGTTATTAATAGAAGATATTTT